TGCACCTGCTTAGCCATGTCCTGAAACCCTCTTCCTCTGATTACTGGGCTATACCCTTCACTTCACCAAATCCAAGGAACAGGCCCTACCTTCCACATTCCACACTCCAAGACAACAAGGGGAAAAATGCATACTGGAAGAACCTCTTAATTCCATCACTCACCTGGCATAGGCTCTTCTACTGCCATCCCTTCTACTGCCATCCCCACAAGATGCAGAGAACATTTTTCATCTCCCTCCATACATAAATCTGTGACCTCAAAAGCACATACTTGAGTACTCTCAGAACTTTCAATTTTTTTACTTTTGCACTGGGTTTTTAATTTTGCATCATGTTATGTTTGATCAATAAAACTTTTACAATTCACAATATTCAAGTTGGTGTATGTTTCATTTATTAAAATTTCATTAAAAATGTCATGACAATCATTGTTTTTATAAAAACCTTGTATGATTTAATAAAGTCTTCATCTGACATACACTAACGTCCTCCCACCACTACACAAAAATGTCAATACATGAGCACTAATCAGGTGTACTAGTTGCTCACAATTTGTCCTAACTTCAAAATTTGCATTTAATGCATCCCTGGCCAATTGCTGCATTTCATAGAAGCCGCCTCTCTGACTGTTCAGCAAGCCTGCCCACCTCCTCCTCCAACCCATCAGCAAGTCTCTTTTCCTTGTTCTCACATATGTCGTGCAAAACACAGCAAGCAGCTATCAGCTGCCTCCAGCTTCGACGTCAGGTGCCTCCATCTACCTTTTAAATGCCCATTCCACTGTCATTCTGAAACTGCTCAGGGTATAGCTAAACAGCTCCTTTCTCCTATCCAAGTGTCTAATAAAAGGCATCATAAGCCATGGAAGTAGAAGGTAATTTGCATCTCTAAGAATGACAGGAGAAATGGCAACACAATCAATGTCTATGGTGGTCCTTGGAACAAAACTGCCATTTATCATTGCAGAAAACAGGACAGAGTTTTTAAAGATCCTAGCACCATGGACCTTTCCAATCCAGCCCACAATAATACTGGTGCACCATCCACAATGATCAACCAGGCCTTGAAGAACCATGGAGCATTACCCCTTTTTTTGTTGTAGAACTGAGAGGCCTGGTGTGGGAGGCAAAGAATGAGCATGTGGGTGCCACCAAGCCTCCAATACAATTTGGGAACTCAAACATGCAAATCCATAAATAACCTCCTGTGCATTATTATGATTAATTTATTATTTGTATTACTGTAGTTCCTCGGCATCCTAGTCATGGACGAGGACCCCCACTGTGCTCGGAGCTGTACTAATATAGAACGAAAATGCTCCTTGCCCCAAAGAGCTTATACTCTACATATAAGACAAAAGATAACAAATGGGGGATAGCATCTTATTGATACCAATACATACCTCCTCTACAATAGCACTGACAGTTGAGCTACCCATACCAAATTGGTCAGTATCTAACCAGTAGCAATCAGTTGTGGTGAGCTTCCACATGACAATGGCCACGTGCTTCTCCATACTCAGGGCAGCTTTTATATATGTGTGCCATCTCTGCAGGTCCAGGGAGAGCTCTGCTCAGATTTCTAGGACAGTGGCCTTTGACATCCTGAAATTCTGCTGACACTGTTGTTCATCCTAGGTCTGCAGCACTATCCTGTCCCACCAGTCAGTGTTAGTTAGCAGAGCCCAAAAGTGGCAGTCCACCATGTGAAGTCACTCCAAGAAAAGTTCAAGTAAAAATGTCTACTCAATTTCAGTCATCTCCCCCTCAGTTGCTTGTTTCACTCTGGCTCTGAAGTCACTGCACAACTTGATATATATGTGCAGCAGCCTGTTTATATTAGGCATCATGAGGGTCACAGCACTCAGCAACTTTTCTCCACGCTTCCTGACAATGTTCTGAAAATGGCACTGGCCTGTAACAAGATGGATGATGGGATGAAATGAGCGGAATCATGGGAATTATTTAGTTTGACCCCAAGTCTCACAATTCCAATGCCTTCCAGTAGGTATCCCACAATGAGCAGTGAGAAAAATTCCAGAATTTATAAGGCCTAGTGATAGAGCAATGCACCCTAGGATGTCTGCCCAGAATGCGGAGCAGTTATTTAAAAACAACATAGCTCTTTTGGACATAATTATCCCACAGGGAAGTAGCTTAACTGGGGATAACAATGCTGTGTGGACACACTGGTGATGCAAAAGTTGTCCTGCATCACTTAACACAAGTGATGCCCTTAAAAGGAACCCTTTTTATCTCTCATTGCCACACCCATATTGTTTGATATCAATTCCCTAGCTCCACTGGCAGTGAGGCAAAGGAGCAAAAGCATTGTGAGGAGTTACTGTATCACAGCATGCCTGGTAAGTGTCTTAGCGCATGGCTACACTTGCAGATATAGAGCGCTTTGAGTTAAACCAGCCTTCATTGAGCACAGTAGGGAAAGCGCTGCAGTCTGTCCACACTGACAGCTTCAAGCGCACTGGCGTGGCCACACTTGTGGCACTTGCAGCGGCATTGGGAGCGGTGCATTATGGGCTGCTATCCCAGCATGCAAGTGGCTGCAACGTGCTTTTCAAATGGTGTGGGGAGGTGGAGTGTGACAGGGAGTGTGTTGTGTGTATGTGGAGGGAGAGAGAGTGGGTTTTGGGGGGCTGAGAGCATGTCAGCATGCTGTCTTGTAAGTTCAGACAGCAGCAGACCTCACTCACCTCCCTGTCTATCTCTCACACACACAGCATTCCACACTAATGGTTGCTTTGTCTCAGGGCAGATAAGCAGCCGGCTGTCAGAAACTGAGTTTTCAAAGGGCATTTCCGCATTCCTACAGCCGATTCCAAACAATGACAAGAGTGGCCACTTGACTTAAGAGGATTAGGGGACATCTCCAGAGGCTGATCAGAGTGCAGTAAAGCAACACCTCGTTCACACTGGCGCCGCGGCGCTCCAGCGAGGGTGCAGCAAACGTTATTCCACTCACCAAGGTGGAGTACCAGCAGCACTGTAGCCACGGAGTCAGTGCGCTCTACGTGCCTTGCCAGTTTGGACAGGTAGTGAGCTAGTGTACCCGGTGCTTCTTTATTGCACTGTAACTCGCAAGTGTAGCCATGTCCTTAGTGTTTGCTTCTAATGTTCTAATAGCAAACCAAAAACAAAGGAAAATGCTTCCTGCAGTTTTCTACAACTCCACATCCTCGATTTTGGGGAACACAGCACCCATATAACAGCACCACAAAGACAGGAGATCTCTCCATCAGAAAATAACCTCAACATAAGAAGAATTCCCTTGAACAGGGTTGGCAGAATGAACCTATGCTCCCCACCCTTCGTAGCCCAGCATGTAGGGCATGCTGGGGATGTGGACAGGAAAAGGAGGGGATGTACTGGAGGAGGGAATGAGTATGCTAAGAGCACACTGCCCTCCAAACTATTGTCGTCTGCTGCAATGGCCCACAGATGTCCATTGCAGCACAGTATAAGTTAAAGCAGACAACTAAATATTGACAAACTTTAAAAGTGCTTGTATACAAATGCAAAAAGTTTAAATACTAAAATGGATTAACTTGAGTGCCTGGTATTAAATGAGGATATTGATATAACACACATCACTGAAACTTGGTGGAACCATGATAATCAATGGGACATGGTAGTATCAGGGTACAAAATATACAAGAATGATAGAGTAGGTCAGACGGTGGGGGAGTGGCACTATATGTGAAAGAAAGCATAAACTCAAATATAGTAATAATCTTAAATGAATCAAACAGTATCATAGAATCTGTATGGACAGACATTCCATGCTTGAATAATAAAAGTATAACAGTAGGATATACTACTGATCACCTTGACCAGGAGGTCAGAGAGGCTACAAAAACAGAAAACCCAACAATAATGGGGAAATTCAACTATTCTCACATTGACTGGGGATGTGTCACCTCAGGATGGGATGCAGAGATAAAATTTTTAGATGTCATTAATGACTGAAGTCGCATTAGTGACTGCACTATTAATGAGGCAATTCTTGACTTAGTCCTAAGTGATGCACAGGATCTGGTCCAATAGGTAAATATAACTCAAGACCTCAATAATAGTGACCATAATGTAACTAAATTTAAGATCCTTGTCGGGGGAAAATACCAAAGAAACCCAGCACCGTAACATTTAAAAACGTAAGAACAGCCATACTGGGACAGACCAATGGTCCATCTAGCCCACTCCATTGTCTTCCCACAGTGGCCAATGCCAGGTGCTTCAGCGGGAATGAACAGAACAGGGCAATTAGTGAATGATCCATCCCCTGTCCTCACTCCCAGCCTCTGGTAATCAGAGGACAGGGACACCCAAGGCATGGGGTTACATCCCTGACCATCTTAGCTAATAGCCGTTAATGGACCTATCCTCCATGAACTTATCTAATTCTTTTTTTAACCCAGTTATACTTTTAGCCTTCACAACATCCCCTGGCAATGAGTTCCACAGATTGACTGTGTTGTATGAAGTAGTACTCCTTGTTTGTTTGAACCCTGCTACCTATTAATTTCATTGGGTGACCCCTAGTTCTTCTATTATATGAAGGAGTAAATAACACTTCCTTATTCACTTTCTCTGCACCATTCATGATTTTATAGACCTCTATTATACCCCCTCTTAGTCATCCCCTTTCCAAGCTAAAAAGTCCGAGTCTTTTTAACCTCTCCTCACATGGAAGCTGTTCCATACCCTTTAGTGTTTTTGTTGCCCTTCTCTGTACCTTTTCCAATTCTAATTATCCTTTGTGAGATGAGGGGACCAAAAATACACTCAGTATTCAAAGTGTGGGATACCCAGTGGCATTATGATATTTACTGTCTTATTATCTATCCCTTTCCTAATAGTTAAGGCTACGTTTATGTCACAGAGGTCATGGAAGTCATGGAATCTGCAACTTCCAGATACCTCTGTGACATTCTCTGCTTCAGCCCCAGGGGTGCAGGACTCTGGAGCTGACAGCCAATGGGGCCATGGCGGGTTCCAGCGATAGGCAACAGCAGCGACAGGGGACCCTCTGCAAAGTTCCAGCGACAGGTGACAGACACCTGAGGGGGCCCTCCCCAGGGTTCTAGCAACGGGCAACAGCCTCTCACAGGGGAGAGGGAGACACCTCGGGCAAGCAGCTGGGGTGTCCCATTTTCTCTTTGGGAAATATGGTCACCCTGCAGCTCCCAGCCGCCGGGGGCAGAGGGGGAACTCCACAGCTCCCAGACACCACGGTGGTGGGGGAAAACCATGGAACCACAGCAGCAAAAGTCACAGACAGGTCACGGCTTCCGTGAATTTTTGTTTATTGCCTGTGACCTGTCCATGACTTTTACTAAAAATAACCATGACAAAATCTTAGCCTTACTAATAATTTCTAACATTCTGTTTGCTTTTTTGACTGCTGCTGAACATTGAGTGGATGTTTTTAGAGGACTATGCACCGTGACTTCAAGATCTCTTTCTTGAGTGGTAACAGCTACCGTATATCCCATCATTTTGCATGCATAGTTGCCACCCTATTTTGTATGTATACACTGCTATCCTTTCCTGCTCAAGTGTCTTTGAGATCAGACCTGTTTGTGTATATGTGACCATGTCAGCCTCTAGTGGCTACAATCTTAAAAAAGCTAAACTTCCTAATACTTCTATAAAACCAGATATGTTTTTATAGGTTACAGTTAGTCAGTGGTCTCATGAAGCCTTTGTTTTTGTTTTAGCAAAATTTCAGTTATCATGGTTTGGTTTTTCCTACAGAAGGACAATATGAGAGCGAACTCTAGTTTTTAGTTTTCACTTTACAGCTGAAAGGAATGTAGCCTTTTAGAATATGGAGGATTTTATGCTTTCCAAATGTCCCCTGATATACTTCACTAAAATAAATATAATATTTTTCTCACCTTTGAATAATTTTGCCCTGCTTCTAGTACTACAGAGATAATAAAATTAAAAAACATGCAAATTCCAAGCTCAACAATACAAATATACTTATAGGAGCAAGAACTAAATGATGCCCTCTCCTTCTCCAAAAATTGACAAAACACACACTGAAGAACATGCAGTACAAGAGGCCACAACACAGCTAAAGATATATGGCAGCATGCAGTAAACACGCTCCCAACATTGCTCAAATTCAAATACAAGCACACAGGAAAGCAATCTTCACCATGGGCATAATTAATATAGAAACATGTACATGTGGCACACAGGAAAACAGCTTCAGCAATGCATGAATATACATAAGAAGAGGCAAAAGTAGCCTTTCAGCATTGTCAATATCCACATAAAAGCATATGGTAAACCAGACCTTCACATAAGCAAAAATGCATATAAGAGCACAATGGAAACTGGCCCCAACATTGCAAAAAACCACATTTTAATGAAAGGGGTGGATTGGGCTTCAAATGATTTGGTGTTTGTTTCAGATAAGTATTTAAAAGTTCAGATGCTTACCCAAACTATCCAATAGACCCTTGAGAGACCCTCCCCCTAACAGTCTTCCTACCTGGTGCTGTCTTTTGCATGGAAACCTGGTGTCTTTCTTCCCTGACATTGGCATCATCTGAGGTGAATGGCTGATCTTTGCCACTTCCAAAACACTCCCACCCCACACACAGACTGCCCCACTCCCCTGAACCCTCCTTCTACCAACACCCAGGTTCATAATCGTATCCTGAGAGCTCTGTGAGGGATACCTCTGGGCTTGGAGAAACCAGGGACAGGCCTGGGAGTAGGAGATACATTAAAACAGTATTCTTATCATCTTTCCTCCTTCCCCAAATCTGGAAATGGAAAGGGATTCACAACAACTAGTCTTGGGGTCTGAATCTAACATACCCCAAAGTCAAGAGGTGTGCTGTTTGGCTCTGATGTTCTAATAGAGGCCCAATGCTAGTTATTTACTCCAATAATATACTGTAGGAACAGCCTACCTGTTTCCTGCCTTGTGTCCTTTCACAGCACTTAAGACTAATGAGGTTGGAGGTGCTTGCCATCCTGTGGTACAACTTCAATAGGATGAGAAATCCCTACCTCATCTGGGTCATCCTTTCAATTGACACTCAAGGCATTTTTGTTTCCTTTTCCACTTGTGACTGGTTGTTTTATCCACTGTATGTTTGGGTTGGAGGTGATTTCCTCTTCTGACTCATTCAGGAATTTCTATGTTTGCCATTTTTAATGGGGATGTTTCAGATTCTTGAACACAAACACCATCTGAATGTATTTATTATTGTTTCTCTCCACTTCTGCTCATAGAATTTATTTCAGTCTTTATCTGAACTCTCTATGAAACTGCTCTTCATGTCCAAAGGCAAATCATTCTGTCTCTGGCAGACTTGCAGATGGAGCAGGTAAATCCCCCTTTCTGGCAGAGTTCATGAGACTACTCTAGTCACAACATCTTGTCTCCATTGGGCCTGAACACCCAGTCTCTCTCCTGATCATTGGGCCTGGTTTCTCCAGCACTTATGGGGCATCATACCCTCATATTTATTCCACTAGCTGATTTTCCCAATCATTTGGAAGGGTAGGAGTATTTCTCACTTTTCACTTGCTTTCTAGGTCTCCTAATTGCCTCATTTTGCTGCTTTCCCCCTCCCTTTAGCCAAATGGCCAAAAACCTTAAAATTCTGGTGTTTCCTCCCTCATTCTTCCCACCCCTTAAATGCTCTCATTATTTTGGCCAAAAAGACTGTAGAAAAGACAGCCGCTCAAGGGGGCTGGGTTGTAACCCCTTTATACTGTATTCAGACCGTCCAACAGCCTCAGGAACTCATGGTCTATCCAGCCTGCAGACTCCCTTCATCACCTTGAGCCATAAGATAAAAGGTTCAAACCCCGCAAGCAGGCATTTGGCTAGTATTCAAAGCCTGCACACTGTCCTCTACAAGACAGTTGTTGGGTAGGGATAACCACGTTGCCCTTTAATGAAGGTGCTCCCTTCCAATGCAGTGTGGGTGATAAATCATGGTAGGAAAAAGGCCAGCCTGTGGTACTTTTAAGTTTTAAACATGAGGGAGACAAATCCTGGAAACCTCAGATCCCATCCTCTTCTTCAATCAAACCTCTTTGGATGCCCAAGGCTGCCAGGCGCAGAAAACAGCCTTTGGCTGATATACACAGTGGAGGTTTTATTGAGGGCTGTACCTGCTTACCAAGCACTTGCAGCTCCCCCTCCTCCTTCCCTCTCGCTTTGACCCTTCCCTCCTATCTACTGTGCCTCATGCCCACTCCTGCAGCCCCCGGGCCAAGAGTACAGCAGGCTGCGGGCACTGTGGCCCAGCATAGCGCCTCGCTGACGCACACACAAAGGGGTGGGCGCACTAGGGTCCCTCCCCTCCGTCCTTCACATCTAGGGCAGCAGGTGGCGCCAAAACAAAACGGACTGCAGGCCTGGCTGCGCGTGCGCAGCAGAGCCGTTCGGCTCCGTCACCCAGAAAAAGGGAGAGTCTGGGGGCTCGTTCTGCGCAAGCGCGCTGAAGCTACCCTGGAGGTGACTCAATGTTAAGCCTAGAAAAGTCAGTTAAAGCCCCTCCACCCGCCATCTTAGGTGCAGGGAAAGGCGGAAGTGGTGGGCGGGGTCGCACAGATCCCCACCCACTCCAGGCTGGAAACGGAAGAGGTCCCGCAAGACAGGGCTTCTCTCGGTGACGTTTGTACTCTATGTTGGCGGTCGGACGCATGCGCCGCTTGGGAGGGCAGGCGCAGTGCTGCTGGAGGGGGAGCCGCTAGTAGCACCTGTGCCCAGGTGGGTGGTGAGGGGCCGGGGGCAGCGGGGGGGTTTCCGGATTCGGTGAGCCGCGGGGGGCGGGGGAGCCCAGAGGGAGGCACTAGGGAGAGCGGGATGGGAGGGAGGGGGGTGAGGGGCACACTCAAGGTGGGGGCTCAGGAGGGATGACGTGTGGGTGCATGGGGGGGCTTGAGGTGGCGGCCTTATGGGGACATAACGGGGTCAGTCGGGGGGGGCATTTAGGGTGTAGCGGAGAAGAGGACCCGGGAGCGCAAAGAGGTGATCCGGCGTTGGGGTGTCCAGCGGGCACCCAGTTTGGGGATGTGCCGCACGGGCGGTGGTGGGGCCCTGCTGCTGCCTGCTGGTTTAGCCGGGAACACGTGAGCCTTGAGAAATGGTGGTGTTGATAATGACACCACTTCCGTGCGCTGTTCTGAGACGATCCCACCTCTTACTCGAAAGTCCTCCCTTTTTAATGATATGTCTGTTACCGATAAAAGTCCTGGAGACTGAATTCCTCCCCTTATCCCTGGAGGGAGCCCTTCCAGCACAGAGGAAAGGCAAACTGGTGTGGCAGCTTCCACTGCCGAGCTTCGGTGTGTAAATTGCTGCCTTCCCTGTGCTTAGATTGCTCACAAGGTCATCAGTTCAATTTATACCAATTATGATGGGGGGTGTTTTTGTAAAATAGACTCCTGCTCACTAAGCTTGGACTACCTGTTTATTTCAAGTGTGCCACTGAGCAACTGCTGGATGGTAACAGCTTTCATTGACTAAGTGATCTGAGCCTGACTAAAAGCAGTGAATTAAATTTATGAGCTTTAGTATTGTATTAAAACTCCGGAGTTGCATAGCTCCTAGTGCTTTAAAAAAAAGAAAAGAAAAAGAAATGGTGTAGGGGATAATGAGCAAATGTTATTGCTCTCCTTTCACACTTCCAAATTTTTCCCATTTCAGTGATACTGTGATCGAGCCCAAGGTGAAGTATTCCTGTTTTACCCTTTCCTAATCTCTTAAAGGGATAAACCCTCCAATGTGACTCAGTCTCTTTGGTTAAATTGTTCAATGGTTAATGTGTCTTATCAGTACATATAAATTGATTTTAAAAAAATGCCCCTATCTGTCTCAGGGAGGGATAAGTGATCAAGAAAGAGATCGGAGTAGTGATTCCATCTCTCACATACACGTAGTTGGGCCACTAATGTGCAGTTACTGAGTGATAAATGACTGAAGCAGAATCCTGGGGTCAATATTTATTTTCAGTGAGTGATAGCTCTAGATAAAATGAATAAGAGATTAAATGTCAGATCATATTTTCATTTACTTTAAATATTAATTTCACCTGTGAAGTGTGAATCCATCAGATATGTATTTTCTCAAACTGTATTTCCCCATCAGTAATAAAAATTCCTCAGTAAGAACTTAACTAATGATTCTGTTAATGATGCACAGACTGGGGTAGAATCTGGCTTGCTCTTCCGCGTTACATTGGCTTTGTAAATGCTGACAGGTCAGCAAATGTGATTAAACATGCAAATAGCAGAAATGGAGCTGGGGGGAAGGATTGTTAAAGATATACTCTTACACTAAGCATTAGTCTGTCTGTCTTAATTTTACCTAGTGTTAATCGCCATAGTATCTCAGCACTATTATCTACTTAACCTGTGTAACTCACTGCCACAAGATGTCAAGGCCAAGAACTTACAAATATCTAAATTTCTTAGAAATTCTGCTGTGGATAAGGAAACCACCCACAGTTATTAGAATGAAAACTTGTAGTGGATACGAATACTTATGCGTCAAGGCATAAGTCAACTACTAACTGTCATGAGTTCAGAAGAAACTTGTTATGAGTAGGTTTATTCCAGTACAGGGTTTATTGCGTCATCTTGCATTGTCCGCTTTTGGAGACTGGACTTCATAGACAACTGGTCTGATCCCTTATAGAAATTCCTCTGTTCCCATTTTACAGTTCCCTTTTCATACCAGAACTATTCTCTTAAAGCAAGGGTGGCTAACCTGAGCCTGAGAAGGAGCCAGAATTTACCAATGTACATTGCCAAAGAGCCACAGTAATATGTCAGCAGCTCCCCCTCCCCATTAGCTCCCCCCCACGCTCCCAGTGCCTCCCACCCACCGGTAGCCACACCCATCAGCGCCTCCCCTTCCTCCCGATCATCTCTTTTGTGGCATGCAGGAGGCTCTGGGGGGGGGAACGGGGACGAGCGAGGGCATGGCAGGCTCAGGGGAGGGCGCGGGAAGGGGTGGAATGCGGGCAGGGCCAGGGGTTGAGCAGTGGGCACCCCCCGGCACATTGGAAAGTTGGTGCCTGTAGCTCCAGCCCCAGAGTCGGTGCCTATACAAGGAGCTGCATATTAACTTCTGAAGAGGTTGGCCACCCCTGCTCTAAAGCAACCACACTAGAGAAAAAAATTGCTTTTAAAAACACATTTCCTACCTGTGTAACTAATAACATCTAAGAGTAATAAAATGTAAATAACTTCTAAAATTGATTTTTAGTGTGTTTATGCAAATTAGTCAGTCTGGCTCTCTTTGTTTCTCGTGCATTTGCACAAATCAGTTGTCTGTGCTGCAGACACTGCAAAGGAATGTTTGAATCCAAACATGCTGTGTGGTTTTTGTTTTTTGTCTTTAAATCATGAAAACATTTATGGAAAAGCATTAGGCTTAATAAGTTCCTCTGTCCTGTCCTCCCAAGGGTTGGATATTTGACTGATCCAAAAGTAATTGGTCAATTGACCAGTCAAAAATAGTCAAATGTGATCAAAGCACGAATATATTAGAACAGTAAAAAAAAAAAAAAAGTAAGATTTTTATGGTATCCAGTAGGCTTAGCCTTAGATACTTATGCATGATTACAAAAAAGTTACTTGAGTTATTTTAATTCAGAAAAATGTGAAACAATTCAATAAAATTGTAAAAAAAGGAGAGACATTAGTATTACCTTTTAAAACAATATTAGGTTAGCATTTAAATGTAAATGTTGTTCAAGACTGAACAGTTAAAGAACAGATGTGAAATTAAACAGAAATGAAATGCATAGCGACTATAAAAGAGAGCCATTTTAAAATGCACTTATGCTAGATAGCAGCTCAATTCTTCACACAGCTTAATGGCTATACATCTATTCTCTTTGTGTTGAAGGAGGAAGCTCCTGTCTACCATTCCCTTTTGAATTCATTTCTGTATGTTTGTCTAGTCAGTTTACATTGTAGGCACTTTGGGGGCAGAGACCATGTCTTTTAACTTGTTTAATGTACTTTATAAACAGCCATGTACACTGATAGCTGGGTGAACAACTAAAGATATAAGTATGTATATTGACAGGTTTCAGAGTAACAGCCGTGTTAGTCTGTATTCGCAAAAAGAAAAGGAGTACTTGTGGCACCTTAGAGACTAACCAATTTATTTGAGCATGAGCTTTCGTGAGCTACAGCTCACTTCATCGGATGCATACCGTGGAAACTGCAGCAGACTTTATATATACACAGAGAATATGAAACAATACCTCCTCCCACCCCACTGTCCTGCTGGTAATAGCTTATCTAAAGTGATCATCAGGTGGGCCATCTGATGATCACTTTAGATAAGCTATTACCAGCAGGACAGTGGGGTGGGAGGAGGTATTGTTTCATATTCTCTGTGTATATATAAAGTCTGCTGCAGTTTCCACGGTATGCATCCGATGAAGTGAGCTGTAGCTCACGAAAGCTCATGCTCAAATAAATTGGTTAGTCTCTAAGGTGCCACAAGTACTCCTTTTCTTTTTAGTATGTATATTGTTTGTTTAGAAGATTACAATCAATCAAGATGTTAAATTTTCAGTTAGTTCTCCTTTTTTCCCCCAACAGTAGCATTAGCATGTAGTTAAATGTCTTACTAACAGATGAGACCATGATGCAATAAAAAAGTAGGCCACCACCTACATTAGGGTATTCTTGCTCAAATATTTGACAGTATTTGCCAATGGTCTAATAATAGGCGTTCAGGTGATGCTATTTAACCAGTCATATGATCAGCTTACCAACACTAGTCCCCTCAACTTTCTCTTAACAAAAGTCTGACTTACCTTATCTTCATTTCCATCATTTTTAGAGGTTTGAGTTATGCCTGTCCTACTCTAAAAGGGCAAATTGAAGGACGTGGGGTGTGGGAAGTACTATCTTAATTGTACCTTTTTTATGGTTTTCATAGTGTAATTTCAAACTTTAATGTTCTGAAAGGGTGTGGGGGAAGAAGAGGCATTTCTGAAGCCATGTCTGTGCCAGGAACACTTTACTAATATAGATATACCAGTATACTGTACTGGTAAAATGCTTCTGATGTGGACTCAGCTTATTCCAGCAAAACTGTACAAAACAAGCTACACTGGCAAAACTGTGTGTTTTCACAAATAGCTGTGTCTACAACTGGAGCTTTTGTCAGCATAACTATGTTGATCAGGGATTGCACCCCTATCCAACATAGCTATACTGGCAGAAGTCTTCAGTATAGACATGGCCTAAGCAACCTTAACTCCCCTTAGCACAGTGGTTTGGTTTGTTTTTGTTTGAATAATCTTCGGTTTTTAGTCAGTGCTCTCTATGTCGGGAAATGAGAATGGAGCTACATCATTAGTCTTCTGTCTACGCTTCAGTCCTTGAGGATGCATGCTCATTATGAAGATGCTTCCACTTCCTGAAGGTCTCCAATTAGCTCACTGACAGCATTCTTTGTAAGAAAATTAAAATATACATGAGTATTCCATTTTTCACAAAAGACCATTGATTTAATTACAGATAAGTTATGCATTTTATCTCCACTGTCTTATCTGGGTCACCATACTGTTGAACTTCACAGTAATCAAGTAGAGCCAGACATTGCCTTTCCACAGTTCAATACAAGAAATTACATTTCCATTTACTAATTCACATGTCGCACGTAAGGAATTAGTAGCTTGTTTAAGAGTCTTTAAAGAGTTAGGAATATTTATGCAGAGAGTCTTCTCCAGATGAATCTATCATATAGTGTACTAAATAAACTCAAGTATGAAACAGTTTTAGTTCAGGTTTCAGAGGGTTAGCTGTGTTAGTCTGTATCAGCAAAAACAACGAGGAGTCCTTGTGGAACCTTAGGCCTGGTCTACACTACGAGGTTAGGTCGAATTTAGCCACATTCGGTCGATTTTATAATGAATGCGTCTACACAACCGACCCCATTCTGCCGACGTAAAGGGCTCTTAAAATTGACCTCTGTACTCCTCCCCCATGAGGGGAGTAGCGCTAAAATCGACCTTCTGGGGACTAATTTAGGGTATCGTAGACGCAGCGCTGTGCAATTCGATGGTATTGACCTCCGGGAGCTATCTGAGACTTTCAGCTATGATGCATTAGCCAGGTACACAGGAAAAGCACCAGGAATTTTTGAATTTCATTTCCTGTTTGGTCAGCGTGGCGAGCTCAGCAGAACAGGTGACAATTCAGTCCCAGAATTGCAAACGAACTGCAGCATGGAGCGAACGGGAGACACTGGATCTGACTGCTGTATGGGGAGAAGAATCTGTGCAGGCAAAACCCTGATCCAGCAAAAGAAATGCTGATATATATGCCAAAATCGCACCAGGCATGGTGGAGAGATGCTACACCAGGGAAACACAGCAGTGCCGCATGAAAATTAAGGAGCTAAGGCAAGCCTACCAAAAGACAAAGGAGGCAAACGGTCACTCCGGATCAGAGTCCCAGACATGCTGCTTCTCTGATCAGCTGTATGCCATTCTAGGTGCTGGGGGGACCCTACCAGTACCCCAAAACTCTCTGTGGACACCTGCAAGGTGGCAGCCTCACGCAACACAGATGAGGATTTGGAGGAGGAGGAGAATGCGCAGCAGGAAAGTGGAGAATCCGTTCTCCCCGGCAGCCAGGACCCTCCCAGGGCCTATTGTTCCCGGACCCTGAAGGTGGAGAAGGCACCTCTGGTGAGTGCACATTTGTAAAAACACTACAGGGGTTAAAAGCAATAATGTTTAATGTTTGGTTTGCCTTGAAGAATTGAGATGCATTCCGGGCCAGTACAGCTACTGGAAAAGTCTGTTAATGTGTCTGGGGATGGAGCGGGAATCCTGCAGGGACATCTCCATGAAGCTCCCCTGGAGGTACTCTGAAAGCCTTTGCGGAAGGCTTCTGGGGAGGGTTGCCTTATTTTGTCCTCCATGGTAGGAGACTTGACCACACCAAGCCTGTAGCAAGTGGTCTGGAATCATTGCAGCACAAAGCATGGCAGCGAAAGGTCCTGGGTTTTGGTTGCATTCATGCAACGTTCGGTCTTTATCTTTCTGTGTCAACCTCAGGAGAGTGATATTATCCATGGTCACCTCGTTGAAATAGGGGAAGTTTTGTAAGGGAACAGTAATACCCTCTGTATGGTGATCCACAACACATTAGACCCTGGGCATGCTGGGCTGTTTGCGCTTAGCTAAAAGGGATCACCCCGGAGAATAGCCGGGTGGGGGTGGGGGAGGGGTGTGATGTAGATCCACCCCAAAACCACAGCCCCTCCTTTTAAACTGCAAACCCAACTGGCATTGGTTGCTGTGGGAGAGGAGGGCACTGCAGTTTGAAACTATTTCTACATGTTATAAACGCAGAAGAAGCCAATCCCACATACCCTTTGGCTTACCATGGCTGCCTGGAAACCAAATTCTGTTGCCCAGCCATGTATGATGTGTCACCATACTGGCAGGCACTCAATATAAAAGGCAAAGTGCGACCTTGTACCTAAAACACATGTACTGTCTGCTGTGAATTGTTTGATTCACTGTAAAAGTCTCCCTTTTTTTCCTCAGAAAAGTATCTTCTTAAAAGTCTACTCTCCCTCTTTCCCCCCTGCAGCTGCAAATGTTTCTTTGCTCCCCGCATCAACTCCGTCCCTGAAGTTATTGCAGATTAGAAGGCAAAAAAATGCACTTGCAATGATATGTTTTCAGAGCTCATGCAGTGCTCCCACACGGATAGGGCACAGCTGAATGCATGGAGGCATTCAGTGTTAGAGGCCAGAAAAGCATACAGTGAGCGTGATCGGAACATGAAGGAGGAGGTGCTGAGGCTAATGGGGGAGCAAGCGGACATGATGAGGCATCTGGTAGAGCTGCAGGAAAGGCAACTAGAGTATAGACCCCCCTGCTGCATCCATTGTGTAACCGCCTGCCCTCCTCGCCAAGTTCCATATCCTCCTCACCCAAACACCCAAGAATACGGGTTGGGGAGGATCCAGGCACCCTGCCACTTAACTCCAGGGGATGACCCAAGCAACAGAAGGCTGTCATTCAAACAGCTTTGATTTGTAGTGTGGCTACAATAAGCAATATGGCCTTGTCCTTCCCTCTTCCCCCACCCCATTATCAAGCTCTTTGTACACCCGGGCTACCTTTTATTAGTCAGTGTTGTCGGTGATCTGAAGTATTTTTTTAATAAATAATGAATGGATTCAGAACAATAGGGACTTTATTTCCTGTGCCAGCTATGGTCGAAGCGGGAGAAGGGGATTGGATTACAGGGAAGTACATTCACCAAAGGGGGCGGCTTTGCATCAAGGACAAACACACACAACTGTCACACTGTAGCCTGGTCAGTTATGAAACTATTTTTCAAAGCTTCTCTGATGCGCAGCGCACCTCGGTGCGATCTTCTAATTGCCCTGGTGTCTGGCTGTTCAAAATTGTCTGCCAGGTGATCTGCCTCAACCTCCCACCCTGCCATAAACGTCTCCCCCCTTACTCTCACAGATATTATGGAGCACACAGCAAGCGGCAATAACAATGGGAATATTGCTTTCACTGAGGTCTAACCTACTCAGCAAACTGTGCCAGTGCCCTTTTAAATGTCCAAAGGCACATTCTACCACCATTCTGCACTTGCTCAGCCTATAGTTGAACTACTCCTTACTGCTGTCCAGGCTGCCTGTGTACGGCTTCATGAGCCATGGAAGCAAGGGTCCCTAAGGATAACTGTTTGGCATTTCAGCATCCCCAATGGTAATTTTCTGGTCTGGGAAGAAAGTCCCTTCTTGCAGCTTTCTGAACAGCCCGGAGTTCCGAAAGATGCGAGAGTCATGCACCTTTCCTAACCATCCCACGTTGATGTCGGTGAAACGGCCTTTGTGATCCACTAGTGCTTGCAACACCATTGAGAAGTACCCCTTGCAGTTTATGTACCCTTTGGCAAGGTGGTCCGGTGCCAAGATGGGGACATGCGTTCTGTCTACCGTCCCGCCACAGTTAGGGAACTCCATTGCAGCAAAGGCATCCACTATGACCTGCACATTTCCAAGAGTCACTACCCTTCTTTCAGAAGGGTATTGATTGCCCTGGCTACTTGGATCACAGCAGCTCCCACAGTAGATTTGCCTACTCCAAATTGATTCCCAACTGAATGGAAACAGTCAGGTGTTGCAAGCTTCCACAGGGCTATCACCACTCACTTCTCAACTGTCAGGGCAGGTCTCATCTTGATATTCCTGCACTTATGCATGCAAAAGTTTCGCAGCTACTGGGAATCATCCCATACTCGCAACGCTATGCGGTCCCACCAGTCTGTGCCTATGTGCCAGGCCCAGAATCGGCGTTTCACTGTATCAGCATGCCCCAATGCCGCCATGATATCCCAATTGCCACATCCCGTGCTTTCAGGAACGTCTGTGTCTATGTCATCCTCACAATCTTCTTTGTGCTGGTGGCTCCTAACTAGGCTCTGCACATACTTCAGGATAATGCGCAAGGTGTTTACAATGCTCAAAAAAGCAGTGTGCAGCTGAGCGGGCTCCGTGCTATGGTGTCTGCATGGATAAACCAGGAAAAAAGGCGTGAAATGATTGTTTGCCGTTCCTTTCAGGGAAGGAGGGGAGACTGACGACATGTACCGAAAACCATGTACCTCCCATGTCTTAAGGATGACACTCCTCTTAATACATCCCAGAATGACATTTGCCTTTTTCACAACAGCATCACACTGTTTTCTCATATGCAAATTGTGATCCACTTTACCCTCCAGACCTTTTCCTGCAGAACTGCTGTCTAGCCAGTAATTCCCCTTTTGGTATTTGTGCATTTTATCTTCCCTTTCTAAGTTCACTTTGCAGTTTATTGGATTTTATCTTATTGATGTCAGACCAATTCTCCAGTTTATCAAGTGTACATGAATTTTGGGTTCCCAATTTGAAAGGCCTATGGCCTGACTTTTTTGGGAGCTTAGTATTTTATAAAACTGTGTTTTTCAGAGCACAGCTATCTGAGAGCAGTTGCTGTTCTGATTTCAGCAGTTCTGCAAATCAGACCCCAGGTGTCTCAAAATGGGTAACACACAGTTAATGGTTACTTGTCATAAAACTGTGTGGTAGAGATGGGGATAAAATCCAGTTTTCCAGAGTAGTGTTCCACTGACCCTGCAACTTTAGCATTCTTTTAACATCCCTGAAAAAAACAATATTGTAGTCATGTAGAACCATATTGATTCCCATAGTTCTTGGGCTTGCTGCCTCAGCAACCCCTAGCTGCTGGGAGGAACAACTACAGAAAAAGTCTTGCTAGCCCAAGCTAGGTAGGCATGCTCAGTGTAGCTCAGGGGTCTCAAAGTCCCGGCGCGAGAACCTCGCCACTGCGGCCCATGGAGGAAGACGCATGCAGCCACGCTGCCGGCTCTGTCTGCTGCAGGCGCTGCCCCCCACACCTCCCATTGGCTGGAGGAGAGTGACAGAGATGGCATCACTAGTTGCCGGGCAGAGTCAGCCATGGAGGCAGCATCATTAGTTGTTGGGCAGAGTCAGCCATGGAGGCTGTGTCACTTTTTTCCACAATGAATATAAACAAGTAAAAATACCGAACACACCTATTTGATGCACACCTTGCTGCAATCCTGACGGTTTCAACTGCTCAGTCACTGAGGCCAAATGGCAACAAACTGAAAGAACTTGAGGCGTTGCCAGGTGTCTGGCAAACACTAAAACACTCTCTGGCAGGCAAAGAATTGTATAAAGTTGTATGACAGTTTTATTATTTCTAAGAAATTTGAAATAAAAAATACAATATAAACATTTTCTTTTCTGAATGCCATCTTCAGTGACATTATTGGCCCACTGGGAGGATTTGAGGACTGGCACTGGCCCTAAGGTAAATTGAGTTTGAGATCCCTGGTGTAGATGAAATCTTTGGAGAACTTAGCTGTGAATTCCAACAAGTCTATACTGAGCATGCATGAACTCAGATTTTCAGAGGCTCACAACTTGGCCAAACTTAGGTGGACTTTCACAAAGATGATAAAAGGCGCATCCTTGACACGAGGGCAACTCCCCAGACAGATGTCAAGTTTGTGCTCCAAAGTATGGAGGAGCTAGAGATTCTCAGTGAAATAGTTGTAAGAATTCTTAACAACAAAACAAAACATCATTTTGCCTAATCTCATTCTGAGAAATGGCTGAATAACTTAGCTGTAACTCTTTGTTTAAAAAAACCAAACCAATAAAACTGCTTAGCCTGAGGCAGACACCCAGCATGGAATATTTCAACCCAAGCAGTTTGGTAAAGCTAAGCAACTGAAAACTAGGTTGTCTAATGTAAATTGTCAGGCAACCTTACCTATAGGCATCTTTTTTAGCACAGCCTATAATAATAATAATGTGTTTGTGTTTTTAGCACTCTAGGTTATAAAGTTTAGAGAGGGAGGCTTACAGGGAATAAGCTCTGCTATTATTGACAGTCCATGTACTGACCTGAATTTTTTTTATAAAAATGGCAAATCTAGAGCTGGATGTTAGATAACCAGCTCTGTTAATATAATTCAAGGGCTTGTCAGAGAAAGATGAGCTTCTCTTATTGCAAAGCTTATTCTGCATCAGTGGAATTAGCTTCCTCAGCTTCAGAGGGACTTGTTTTTTGTTTTTGTTTTGTTTGTTCCAGATCTCTTCCTTTTCCTCCTCCACCCCACC